CTGAGGGTCCGGGTGGTGGACTCGGGTGAGGGCGTGGTGGCACTCGGCAGCGCTCCGCTGGTCGTTCCCCAGTTCTACGGTTTATCCAACGCCATCAACGGCTCGGTGCTGAATATCAGGGCCGCGCCTGACCTTGTCTGCACCGTCAGGCTGTTGACCGCAGACACCAGCGTCCCCGCTGCGGGTCGGCTGGTGAGGGAGGAAGACTCCACGCAGAGGAAGGGTACCAAACTCATAAGATGTTTTTAATTTGCTTTGTTTCATTGTGTCATCACAGTTTATAAAATATCATTTAACCTTTTAAGTTGAATAAATTAAACTTTATTTACAATGTGGAGCACAAATAAAGCAAAAGCTATAAAAAATATCAAAACTTAAAAATAACTGAGAGAAATGCTTAAATATAAAATACACATTAGTATAAATATAAACTGAAATGCAGGCTGCTTGTGGTTTATCTGTTTGTGTGTGTCTGGTGTTTTCCACTCACCGACTGGTCTAAAACCCTCGGCTCTCCTCTCTGATAGGTCGACAGGCGACGCTCTGCCCGGGAAACAGTCCGTGTCTTCACGACACCACCGAGGTCCGCTTCCTCAAAACCAGCTGCCATGAATTCCTGAGCTCTGGCCTCAAGTACCAGCACCTCAGCCCGCCGTCCCCGGAGATCGACTACGTCCCCGTCCGGGTGGAGCTGAGAGAGCAGGCGAGCAGAGCACTGCTGGAGGTACAGGAAAGACCAATGAGCTCACAGCTCAGACAGCAGCGTGGAAACAAAGAGAGCAGAAATGAGGCTCAGACTTGCTTTAAAGGAAGAAAGTTTGTAAAGTGCAGATTCTGCTGTTTGCAGGTGAGATGTTGGCAGTGAGAAGGTGACATCCCGCCTTCTCAGCTCGGCGATGAGGACGGATGTGCAGGCGGAGGTTGTGCGGGGTTTCGAAGCCTCCAGCATTCCTTTAAAGCATTTCTGTCTCATCGTTAGCACGTGAGCGGTGGCATAACACCTCTCACGGGTGTAACAGCAGAAGTTGTGGCGCCATGTGTTGATCTCTGCGTGGTGTGTTAAACATTACCTGTCCTCCTCCTCCCACAGTCACAGGCCGTGTGGCTGCCGGTTTTGATCCACGGGGCCATGCAGAACCAGCCCCCGCAGGCTACCTTCATGGCCTCTTTCATCCTGGAGGTGGACCAGTTCATCCTCACCCCGCTCACCACTGCCACGCTGGACGCCAAGGACCACGAGACTCCGCAGGAGAAGCTGGTCTTCAACGTGACCGTCCCACCCGCCGAGGGCTACATCACACACCTGGACGACCACACCAAGCCCATCCGGTCCTTCACATGGCTGGACCTTCACGAGATGAAAGTGGCCTACCAGCCATCCAACAGCAGCCGGGGGCGCCGCAGGAACTATGAGGTACTGAAGACGCAACAGGGCTCCAAAGGTTCTTCCAGTTTCTGTAGAAAAGTTGGAATGTTAGAAGCACCAACACTGGGAATTTTGGAGAAAACAGCTTTTTTTAGGGCAGTGTGGCAGATATCTGAGCTTTTATTCTAGGAATCAAACCTAACGTTGTAGCTGCTAATGCCGCTTCAACTTCTACAGCATAACAGCACACCAAAGCTAACCATAGCTAACCCACCCCACACCGATGTTTCAGAGGGTCTGAACCGGGGCTCCAGATCTGAGTGTTCGTGTTCTATTCCCTTCAAAAATGTCTATGTCAAAAAAAGGAGACATGGAGGTTTAGGAAACGCTTCACCTTCAAGTCAGCTGTACAAAAACAGCAGCAGGAGAGAGAGTGAGATACAATCACACAGGGTCAAAGTCACTGCTGGCCTGCTTGGGCTGGGACGGCTAAATAAATATATATTACAAAATTATTTTGACCCAGAAGGAATCGCAACTAGAAGATGATCCTGGTGTCAAATGTAGGTGAAAAGAAGACCTTTCTTTTTCTCTCACCTGTCCCACAGGCTGATATGAGCCCTGAAAGTGTACCCAGAATGCACTCTGTGAAGTTTCAGATGGAACTTGTCTGCGTCACAGGCATGAAGCTGTAAATAGGTCACACATACGTTGTTTTACACGCTTAATAATGTCATTTCCTGTCATTGCGTTCCCTTTTTATATGCTTAGGTGGAGTTTCAGGTGATAGACGGCTCCTATCTGACCAGCCCACCGATCGTGGTCCACGTCTCCATCAGGACATCGGAAACAAATGCTCCGAGAGTCTCCTGGAACGTGGGTACGTTTGCGTCCATCTCTGTGGCGTGAAAAATGTCTCATGGCATTTTACTCGTTGAGGTAACATGTGAACATGTGTGCCATCTCAGGTCTAGACCTGTTGGAGGGTCAGTCCCGACCAATCACCTGGGAGCAGCTGCAGATAGTCGACAGCGACAACATTGACGCCGTTTACCTGGTGGCCGTGGACGGACCCGTGCACGGGCGGCTCAGTGTCAGAGGTGAGGGGTCAAAGGTCGGCAGGGTTGGGTCTAAGGTGGTAAATGCTCCATCGAACATCAAACAAAGTGAAGAAAAATCTTCTCCTCAGTTTTCTTTCTTCTCTTTCAGACTAATCAAGTTTTTCAGTTTTAGTTGCTACCAAAACTTTGATGTGCCACAAAATTGAAACTGTAGGTGAGACTTTTGTACATGAAGCTTCTGCTTTCTGTGTAGTGTGAGTTCTTTTGACCGATCAGATCTGAGCAGATGAAAGAAAACATGGTGAGGTGCTACGTTTATTAAAATATTAAAAAT